TGTCCAAAGGACACTGGGGAGACACGATGACTAAATGTAATCCAATATCCTGGAACAGAAAAAAATATTAAGTCAAAACTAAAGAGATCTAAATGAAGTGTTGACTTTAGCTAATAATATTAATATTGGTTCATTATTTGTGAACATTTAGTTGTGAACAAGTGTACTACACTAATGTAAAATAATAATAGGGAAAGCTGGCTGTGGGTATATCTTCATGATTTTTCTGTAAATATAAAACTATTCTAAAAAATAATGATCCACTTATTACTTTTTTTAAAAAAAAATGATTTTAATTTAAATAGGTTTTAAAAAATTTTTTATTAATTTTTTTTTTTAGAGAGAGGAAGAGATAAGGAGGGAGAGATAGAAACATCAATGAGAGAGAACATTTTTGGCCGCCTCCTGCATGCCCCACTCTGGGGATCAAGCCCACAACCTGGGCCTGTGCCCTGACAGGGAATCGAGCTGGCGACCTCTTGGTGCACAGTTCAACGCTAAACTGCTGAGCCACACCAGCAGGGTAGAAAGATATGTTTTTATGTCTGTAATTTACTTTTTTTTTTTCCAATCCTCACCCGAGGACTTTTTTTTTTTTTTTCCTATTTATCTGCAGATAGAAAAACATTGGGAGGGAGAGAGAGAGAAAAATATTGATGTGAGAGAAACACATGGCGTGATTGCTGGGGGGAGGAGGTGGGTGGAGGTAGAAGAGGGTATAAGGTAGATAAATGGTGATGGAAAACAATACAATAAAATAAAGGGAAGACGAAACAATTTGAATATCCATCAACTGGTGAATGGTTAAACAAATGTGGTATATCCATACAATGGAATGCTACTAAGCAGTAAAAAGAAACAAAGTCCTGATGCAAACTACAACATAGGTGAATTTCATGAAAGAAGCCATACACAAATAACTATATATTGTATGATTCCATTTACATAATATTTCTAGAAAAAGCAAAACAATAGAGACAGAAAGCAAATCAAAGGTTATCTAAGACTGAGGTGAGGGGTAGAAGCAAGAATTAGCTGCAAATCAGCATAAGGAAACTTTTAGGGACAATAGATGTGTTCTAAAACTGGATTGTGGTTTGTGGTGATGTTTGCACAATTGTGAGAGTTTTACAGTTTTAGCTCTTAAAGTTAAGCTTTTGATCTGTTTTAAATTAATTTTGTATATGGTATGAGCTAGAGGTCCAACTTTTTTTTTTGCCTGTGGGTATTCTGTTTTCTCAAAATACTTTGTTGAAGAAAAAAAAAAAGAAAGAAAGAAATCCTTACATCTATGGTCAATTGATTTGGTTCCCGCTAAGGGCATGTACCTCTGTTGCAGTTTGTCCCTGCCCCAGTTGGGTAGGTGGCAACCAGTTGATGTGTCTCTCTCACATCAATGTTTCTCTCTCTTCCTCCCTCTCTCCCTCCTGCTCTATCTGAAGATAAATGCAAAAAAATAAAAAATAAAAATAAATAATTCACTATAGTCCCTTTATCATATATCTATTCACTTAGTCATCCCTCTATTCTTCTATTAATCCATTTAAAAAATTTTTAATCCTCACCCGAGGACATTTTTGCATTCTTCAGATAGAGTGGGAGGGAGAGAGGAGGGAAAAGAGAGAGAGAAACATCAATGTGAGACACATTGAGTGGTTGCCACCCACATGACCCCAACCAGGGTGGGGACAAACTGCAACTGAAGTATTACATGCCCTTAGTGGGAATCGAAACTGGGTCTTTCTGGTCCACAGGCCGATGCTCTAACCACTGCCAGAGCCATTTAATTTTTATTGGATGCATTTTAAAGTAAATTACAGACAGCCTTGACTGGTTTGCTCAGTGGTTAGAGCATCAGCCAGTGGACCAATGAGTTGTGGGTTTGATTCCAGTGAGGGGCATGTACCTCGGTTGTGGTTTGTTCCTGGTCCTGGTCAGGGTCATTTCTGGGACAAATGTCACTTGGTAATGGTTATAATCCTCTTATTTTTTTTTTAGATAGAATGGAAGCGGGGGCGGGGGTGGGGTGGGAGGAGAAACATCGATGTGAGAGAGACACATCGACTAGCTGCCTCCCACTCGACCCCAACTGGGGCTGGGGGTGGAACCTGCAACCCAGGTATGTGCCCTTGACCAGGAATCAAACCTGTGACCCTTCAGTCCATGGGCCAATGTTCTAACTGCTGAGCCAAATGAGCCAGGGTGGTTATAATCCTTTTAATATGCTGCTGAATTCAGATTGCTAGTATGTTGTTAAGGATTTTTGCATCTATATTTATAAGGAATATTAATCTGTAGTATTCTTGTAGTCTCTTTGTCTGGCTATGGTATCAGGATAATAGTAAAAGATATTTGAACAACACAGTTATAAGTTTTACTTAAAAGATATATATAGATATATATATAATGAACTAACAGTCTGAGGAATGGGGTAGTCCCAGGGACGTGGAAGTGGGGTACAGACTGACAATCCCCAGAAGAGGGGGTGGTGGGGGAGAGATAAACCACAGAACTTATATGCATGTGTGCATGAACAATGGACATGGACAACAAAGCTGGGGACAGGGTGGGGAGGGAGGAGGAGGGAGGAATCAGTGGGGGGAAAAGGAGAAACATCTGTAACAAAAAGAAATAAATTAATAAAAAAAGAATAGAGCCCTGGCCGGTTTGGCTCAGCGGTTAGAGCGTCGGCCTGCGGTCCCGAGAGACCCGGGTTCGGTTCCCGCTAAGGGCACGTACCTCGGTTGCAGTTTGTCCCCGGCCCTGGTTGGTCGTGCAGGTGGCAGCCACTCGATGTGTCCCTTCACATCGATGTTTCTCTCTCTCTCTGTTCCTCTCTCTCCCTCCCTTTCCATCTGAACAAAAAATGGAAAAATGTCCTCGGGTGAGGAAAAAAAAAAAAAAAGAATAGAAGAAAAATAAAATAAAAAAATAAATCAAAAGAAAAAATAAATAAAAGATACACACACACACACAGAACTTTTTTATCCACAAATAGAGAATACCTACTCTTTAATTATCCAAAGAACATTTACAGAAATTCATTATGTACATAAAGATCTCTATAAATTCCCCAAATTCTCTTAATACAGTATAACAAAATGAAAAAAAAGCAGTAAAATGATTTTTCCAAAAATTCACTTGACATTCTAAAACCACCTTTCCAAACAGCTCAAAGAAGAAATAAAAATCTATTCAGAAAACAATGACAGCGAGAACACTACTTTGTATACTAAAAAAACTCTTCTCAGAGGGAAATATATTACTAAACATATTTTATTAGAAAGCAAAAAAAAAAAAAAAACAGAAAAGAAATGAATCAAGTATGTGCCTTGGTGAGTTAAGGATCTTTGTTTGCAGAACAAAAAACAAAACCAAAACAACAACAACAAATAAATTCTTGGTTCACTCACAGCTCTGAAAGAGAAAGATGAAAAACCAGGTCCATAAAAGGGCAGGAACCCCAGTGGCTCTGGGGTTGGTTGCTTGCTGAACCAGGTAACAGAAAGCAGTGAATCAGATACAGTATGAATCAGCTACTAGATGAATCAGCTACAGCTTATAATTTTGCTTAAAATTTAGCTGTCATGGATCAAGCATAAAATTAGCCTAGACGAGGCTTCATGTCTATTTTTTTAATCTAGAAAAGTTCAGTGTATCTTCATTGATGATTTCACCAAACAGTATCTAATAAGGAAAGGTTAGTTCTCCAAGAATAGTTGGGGTAGTGTCATCAGAAGAAGGGGCAATGGATGTGGGGTGACAAAAACAATAAAATGGCCCAGCCAGTGTAGCTCAGTGGATTGAGTGTCGTCGTACACACCAAGAGGTCACTGGTTCAATTCCTGGTCAGGGCACATGCCTGAGTTGCAGGTTCTATTCCCAGTAGGGGGCGTGCAGGAGGCAGCTGATCCATGTTACTCTCTCACTCTCACATTGATGTTTCTATCTCTCCCTTCCTCTCTATGTAAATATCAATAATAAATAAATAAATAACAATAACTATCTCTCCCTCTCTAAATAACAATAACTAATAAATAAATAAATAACAAATTACACATCTTTACATTTTTGCTAAAATGTTCACTATAGCATTTATTACAGTAACAAAAAGTTGAATGTGAGTGCTTTCTCCCTCCTCTCCCCCTTCCCCTCCTCCCTCCCCCTCTCCCTCTTCCTTTCCCTCTCCCTTTCCTCCCCTTTCTCTCCCTCTATGGTGTGTGTGTGTGTGTGTGTTCACATCCTAACACCTGGACCTATGAATATGACCTTATTTGGGAAAAGGGTCTTTGTAGATATAAATGTAATTAAATGAATGATCTTGAGATGAGATCATCCTGGATTATCCTTGTGTGCCCTAAATCCAATAACCTTACAAGAGACAGAAGAGAAGACACAGACACAGAGAAGGCCATGGCCATGTGAAGTCAGAGATTAGAGTAATACAGCCGCAAGCCAGGGGCTGTCTGGAGCTACCAGAAGCTGTAAGAGGCAAGGAAGGGTTCTCCCCTAGAGTCTCTGAAGGGAGTGCCCTCCTGCTGACCCCTTGATTTTACATTTCTGCCCACCAGTACTGTGAGAATAAATTTCTCTTGTTTTAAGGCACCTAGTTGGTAGTAATTTGTTACAGCAGCCCTAGGAAACAAATATATATACACAAATAACAGTACTCTCTGTACAGACGATTGATGGATAGAAAGAATATATATTTTCCTAAAATTTCTATATTTTTCCATAATATAGTAGATTGTTTTAGAATGTGGGTATGAAGAAGACTAGCAAACTTAATGCCAAACACAATAAAATGTAAGCAAAAAATTAAATGTGTCTCTATTCTCATGGGCAATTCCCCATGAGAATACCAGTCACTGTGACTCAGGGAACCCTCCATGTTTCCTATTTGCTGCTTTGAATGCCTGAGCTCCTGTCTGGTCTTCTGACCTCCTTTAGTATCTATTTCTCTCTCCCACCTCCTCTGTTCGCTTCTCTTCCCTTCAGGGTCCAGGTTGGCTGGATGGACTGGTCGGGAGGTTGGATCTCGCTCCCCGATGCTGTGGCCTGGGTTCCCAGCACTCAGCATCCTGGATCCCCACTCTTCTAGGAGACAGGTTAGACAAAGTGGGACTGTTACCTCCTTTCTCTGGACCGCAGGCCGACGCTCCAACCGCTGAGCCAAATCGGCCAGGGCTGTTACCTCCTTTCAAGTGCTCATAGCACATGTAGAAAAATGACGAGTAAAAACCAACAGTAACACGCCCGTGCCACTTGGTGGATTCCAATGTGATGATTGTTTTTATTACCTAAGGGCTGAAGTGGGGATTAAAAGTTATTATCTTTGCTTGGCCGGTGTGGCTCAGTGGATTGAGCGTGGTCCCATGGACTGAGAGTACAATTCCCAGTCAGGGCACATGCCTGGGTTTCAGGCTCAGTCCCCAGTAGGAGGCATGCAGGAGGCAACTGATTGATGTTCCTCTCTCACAACAATGTTTCTATCTCTCTCCCTTCCTCTCTCTCTAAAAAAATCAATATAAACATATTTTTAAAAAAGTTATTATCTTTGTTGACGGAGTGGGAGTGGAAGGGGGGAGGGGTAGGGCCTGGTGGTGAAAATGCAGACCAACTTATTTTTGGAACTGGGAAGTGGGAGATGATGTCCTCTGTATTCTGGCTGCCCAATATCCCCAGGTCACCCAACAAAGACTCTAACTGGGCGGATCCTGGGAAGAATGTAGCTCTTTTCGAAGTCCCAGCAGGTGGAGGATTACTTGCACAGCACCATTATCCCAAATATGCCTAATTGGTTTACACCACGCCTTCGCCCCAGTTTGTCAATCACCACCAGGTGGCGCCAAAGAGCAGCCGAGACCTGGTGGATCCAAGCCTCAGCCTAGAGATGCTGGGAAAGTACTAGAGTCAGACGCTGTGTGGGTCTCTCAAGAAGGGGCCCTGCTCTCTGCCTTCCACCCCCATGTAAAACTCCCCCAAAGCGGGTATGGACCACCCCCTCATCCCCACCCCTCAGTGAAATCCCAAAGTGGAGAACAGGGAGGTAGCATGCGCAGAAGTCAGCCCACAGCAGCCTGGGGAATATCAGGATTGAATTTGCAACCCAGGTATGGGAATCAAACCCAAGATCCTTCCGTTCTCAGGCCGACACTCTAACCGCTGAGCTAAAGTGGCCAGGGCGATGGGTTTTATTTTTAAATAGACATTAGGAGTAATAGATACTCACAATAGAGGGGAAAATTTGTAACAGAAACAGTTACATTTTGCTTTACCAAACCTGCATCTGTGGCCTGTGAAATGCTTGACAGCTACAAATATTCATAAAATTGATTGCATATAAGAAACGTTAATAAATTCCAAAAAGCAGAAATTGTACAGGCTACATTTTGTAACCACACTGTAACCAATAAATATATGAAAACACAGCCACTGGAAGTCATAAAAGGGGGGGAGGGATGATCCTGAGTAGCACTAGAGTCACAGAGAAATCAAGATTACAATATCAGATTCTTTAAAGAATACGTAAGAAAACACAACAGATCACGTTTAAGATGTATGGACTAAGCTGTGTTTTCACACATAAAATCATATTTTTCAAACGCTTTTGTTAGCTGAGAGAAAGACAGAATTGATCAACTGAATATCTTAGAATCTTAGGAAATCAAACGGTCCTTATAAAGGACTTAAGAAATAACTATGGAAATAAATTAATTAGGAAAAAGAACAGTTATTTTTTAAAAACTAGAAATGACACTAAGAGAAAAATGCAAATATATACCTCTTATCCTGTCCTTCAGAAAGCACTTAGCCATCTGTCCCAGTGGTGGGCTCTTTCTCCCTCCAATTTGCCCACTGTGTCCCTCTAAGGAAAGTCACAAGACACCTTGCCTTGTAGATTAGAGCTTACTCCCACAAAATCTAAAGTAACCTTGAAAATCCTGAAGTTCCCACACTTACATAGCCCACATGAAATAGGGAACAGGCCTCCTTAAAGATGACAGCAGGATAATATGAATGACTATGACCAACTGGGAAGAATTTATACGTGTGTGCACACATTAAAGTTTAGGTGTGTGTTTTCTTTCAATCCTATAATTATTCTAAACTGTTGAATCCAGCCCTGGCTGGTGTGGCTCAGTTGGTTGGAGTGTTGTCCTAAGATAGGCTAGTAAGCCAGGACAAGTGGAAAAGGGAGCCTGAGACAGATAGACAGCAATTTGCAGCCATCTAGTACATCCTATCTTCCCTAAACCAAGGACACTTAAGAGTAAATGGTTTGCACTATTCCCAGGGGGTAAATAGTTTAAACCACCGTACTCAGGAAGACAAATAGCAGAAATTCAATTAGTGCCATTTGCCGACCACACCCAGGGAGAGATGAAGCTAAGAGAATACATCTCATTTTGGTATATCAGCATAAAGCTGATGAACATTCTACTGAAATCCTCCCCTAAATGCCCAACCTTTAATACTCCTTGAAACAAAGGTCGCAGTGTGAGTTCTCCTTCCCAGAAACATGCCTGCAATCTCTCCTTTCCCTCTTTCCCGGACAGGCACACATCTCCTGAACTCTAAGGGACCCCATGAGGCTTGCAGCTGGGGCAACAATGGACAGCAGCAGTTTGTCCCAGACAACCCCCCTGAACTTGTCCCCAAAGCCCCCTTTCCTCTGACTTCTTAGTGAGCCAAAGCAGACCAGCCTAGGCTCTTTCCCCAGCCCTCTCATGTTTCATTGTCCCCAGCTTTAATAAACATCCTCTAAAATTCACCTGAATTCATGTTGTGAAACTTTTTCTGCACGAAGTCAAGAACCCACACACTACCACTGGCTCTAGGCAGACACACTCAGGGCCAGGTCCCCTTTCCAGTAACAGTCCCGTGCACTGAAGGGCTTTGGGTTCGATTCCCAATCAGGGCACATACCCAAGTTGTGAGTTCAATCCTACAGGAGGCAACTAATCGATGTTTTTTTTTTTTTCACCCAATCTCTCTCTCTCTCTCTCTCTCTCTCTCTCTCTTTCTCTCTCTCATCAATAAAAAACATATCCTGAGGTGAGGATTTAAAAAGATATTTTAAAAATGAAATAAACTGTTGAATCCAGATAGTCTCGAAGCATCCAATCCCAACACACAAGTACATTTTCCATGTGTCACACAATCAGTGATGAACCAAGGGTTTTCATTCATTCAGCTTATGTACCCCCCAAAAAAGATGTTTCCCAGAATAGAACCACCCTGATTTTCTTGTCTATCTTTATCAAGTATCTACGATAACTGAGCGCTATATACCAGCTATTATTATCTCAGTTAACCTCTTGTGTGGAGATACTACTATTATTCCCATTTGAGAGCCAGGACTTGCTGGGCATCCTACAGCTAGCCCAAATGCTGAGCCAAATGAAGTTTGTATGGCTCACAGGATACTGGTCTTATCATTATGCTATAAAAAGTATAATTATTTTATAATAAAAGGACTTTTTCCCATTATAGTATGCATATAAAAGTTAATATGGCCCTGGCCGGTTTGGCTCAGCGGTTAGAGCGTCGGCCTGCGGTCCTGAGAGACCCGGGTTCGGTTCCCGCTAAGGGCACGTACCTTGGTTGCAGTTTGTCCCCGGCCCTGGTCGGTTGTGAGGATGGCAGCCACTCGATGTGTCCCTTTCACATCGATGTTTCTCTCTCTCTCTCTGTTCCTCTCTTTCCCTCTCACTCTACCTGAGCAAAAAAAAATGGAAAAATGTCCTCGGGTGAGGTTAAAAAAAAAAAAAAAGTTAATATGTATGGCCCTGGCTGGTTTGGCTCAGCGGTTACAGCGTCGGCCTGCGGTCCAGAGAGACCCAGGTTCGGTTCCGGCTAAGGGCACATATCTCGGTTGCAGTTTGTCCCCGGCCCTGGTTGGGTCGTGCAGGTGGCAGCCACTCGATGTGTCCCTTTCACGTGGATGTTTCTCTCTCTCTCTCTCTCTCTCTCTCTCTCTCTCTCTCTCTCCCTCCCTCCCTCCCTCTCTCCCTCCTGCTCTATCTGAACAAAAAGTGAAAAAATGTCCTCGAGTGAGGATAAAAAAAAATTAATATGTATGCCTGCCTCCTTGTTTTGGCCCTAGATTTGACCTGAATCAGGAGCCCCAGCTGAACCGGAGCATTGGACTCCGTGTTGCGGTGTGACCGCCGCAAGGTGGCAGCAGAATCTGGAGCTCTTCGCTGACGTCAGGTCCAGACCCCTTCGTGTTGGCAAAGATCTGCCCAGGTAGGGGAGCCCAGCGTGCTCTCAGGATCCTTTGGTCCCCAGCCGGGCTGCAATTTGCTTTCCTTCATTCTGCTGCGCTGCTTCTCAGGCCGAGAGGCCAGGGCACGGGCTGGCACTAAAACACCGCGGTTGGCGCACAGTTAACCTTCTGTGCTTGAGCCCTATTCGGTACTTGAATCCTATGTAGCTTCCATAAAACAACTACCCTATACAGAATGTTGTAGAAATGTAGTTATTTCGTTTCACTAAGTGTCTGTTTTGATGTACTAATACTATAAAATTTTCATTGCTTTTCCCCATATTTTGGCATCTAGTCTTAAAAAAAATTTTTTTTAATTGATTTTTAGAGAGCGAGAGATCAATGTGAGAACAGAACATCAGTCAGCTGCCTCCCGCATGCCCCCTACTGGGGATGGAGCCTAAAACCCAGGCATGTGCCCTGAATCAAACTGGTGACCTCTTGGTGCATGGGACAACGTCCAACCCACTGAGCCACAAATAATAGGGCTTGGCATCTAGTCTTAAGCAAAATCCCTAGAACAGGCTAAATCCGGGAGTCAGGAGAGCATCTCCATGGTGGGGACACTAAACTTCCTAAAGCTGCCTTGGCACACTGGGGTTCGGTAGGCTGGCTCTGTGCGCCTGCAGTTACCACGGTTCCCCTGAGATTCCGTAGGAGCTGGCAGCCGGCTGCGCCTTTGCTTTTTGTTCTGTGTTTCATAGGAAGGCCAACGAAGCTACGTCGAGGACTGCTGGTCAGAACATTCTTCCAAGACACAGTTGGGCTAAACATTTCACAGTCCTGTGCAACAGCCCGATGCTGAATTGGAAGGTTCCTGGAGTTGGCACCAGGGGCAGTGGGATTCTCTCCTTGGCTCCTCCCTGCCCCCCAACCATACTCACTTGTCATCATCTTCAGGAAGGCAAATAAAGTCTGGGTAGAGACAAATGTCTGTGGCTCTGGGAAAGCCTATTAGCAGTGAAGCCCTAGTAGGAAAAATAGCCAGAACTGGAAAAATAACTAGACTGGTTTAAAATTCTGCTGCTTCTGTGTTCAGTCATGGCAGAGGGTGAGTCTCCTCATCCATGATGCTCTTACTGACCAGGGGTCTGTGCCCCTGACCACAGTGTTCTCCCACAGCTTGGTGAGCTCTTCATCTCACGAAGGCTCTTGCCCATCAGCTGCCCACTCAGGAGGTCTCAGACAAACGTTTGGAAACTTCTGCTCTTGAAGTGTGGGCTGGACAGAGAGGGGGTGACTGCTTCAGCACCTGGAGACCCCCCTGTGAAGGTGGGAGGCCACCACTGTCATTCCCCCCATAGCCAGTTTTCCCAGCCCCTCACAAGCCTCTCGGGTCCCCCCCACCCCCATATTTGGCAGTTGAGGGAAATGACTCCAAAGTCTTACATTCATCTAACAGACCCCTTAGTAGGTCTGAACGATGATGGAGAATGGGGGTCAAGAAATGGGGTTGCAGTGCAGGGAGGAGTACCCCAGGGTAAGGGGCCAGCATGAGGGACAGCTGAGGTGGCTGGAACTTGGACAGTGAGGAAGGAGTAGAGCAAGGTAAGGTAAAATTCTTGGTTTTTATCATGATAGCAATGGAGAGCAATTCAAGGATTTAAAACAGATTAGTGATATAATCTGATTTGTGTTTTAAAAGATAATCTGTCTGTAAATGATTTGGAGTGGGATAAGCATGTAGGAGGATATAGCTATGGTCTAATGAGAGGGCCTGGTGGCATGAGGGTGGTGGCAGTGGAGGTGGAGAAAAGACCTGTTTAGAATCTGGAGGAACGGAATGGAAGATGCGTTTATAATACAAGGGTAAGGTACTGTTCCTGTGAACATGCTCACCCTTCCGTACACACTCATACCAACATGTACACTTCCACTCCACCTTCCCATACACTTGGTGCTTTGCTACTTGCATAAATGCATGGATACTGCCCTGGCTGGTGTGCCCAGTGGTTAGAGTATCAGCCTGCAGACCAAAGGGTCGCAGGTTCAATTCACAGTCAAAGGCACGAACCTGGGCTGCAGGTTCAATCCCTGGCCCTGGTTGGCACACATGTGGGAGGCAACCAATCAATGTGTCTCTCACATTGATGTTTCTCTCTCTCTCTCCCCCACTCTCTCCCTCCCTGCCACTCTGTCTGAAAGTCAATGGAAAACATATCCTTGGTTGAGGATTAAAATAATAATAACAGTAATAATTAACAAATAAATGCATGGATACCAAAAGATACCCACATCCCTGCTGTTCTTCCTCTGCCAATTCTTGGAGAAGTTTTCTCTGTCAACCATCTCAGAGGGAGAACCCTGGGACCAGGTGGCTTTGGGTAAGGAGATAAACATATAGCATTCCCCCTTTACTTGTGATTTTGCTTTCCTGTGGTTTCAGTTACTCATGGTCAACTATATTAAATGGAAAATTCCAGAAATAAACAATTCGTAAGTTTTAAATAGTGCATTGTTCTGAGTAGCATGATGAAATCTCTCGCTGTCCTGCTCTATTCCTCCTGGGACGTGAATCATCCCTTTGTCCAGTGTATCCACAATGTATGTACAGTACTGAAGGGGTTCAGAACAGGCCTCCCCAGATGTGCCACTTTGGCATGTGAATTAGTTTGAACTGAATGCAATTGAGACCCTGCGGGCTCATGAGAAGCTTTTACCTCTCCCTTAAAATTTTATTATTATGCCCTGGTTGGTTTGGCTCAGCTGTTAGAGCGTCGGCCTGTGGTCCAGAGAGACCCAGGTTTGGTTCCTGCTAAGGGCACGTACCTCGGTTGCAGTTTGTCCCCGGCCCTGGTTGGGTCGTGCGGGAGGCAGCCACTCGATGTGTCCCTTTCACGTCGATGTTTCTCTCTCGCTCTCTCCTTCCCACTCTATCTGAACAAAAAATGGAAAAATGTCCTCGGGTGAAGATTAAAAAAATATTATTATTATTATTATTTTTAATCCTCACCTGAGGATATTTTTCCATGTATCTTCAGATAGAGTGTAGGAGGGAGAGAGAGGGAGGGAGGGAGGGAGGGAGAGAGAGAGAGAGAGAGAGAAGAGAGAGAGAGAGAGAGAAACATTGATGTGAGAGACACATCAATAAGTTGCCTCCTGTAAGACCCTGACTAGGGCCAGGACCAAATTGCAACCGAGGTACATGCCCTTGACCAGGTACATGCCCGCAACTCTTTGGTCTGAGGGCTGATGCTCTAACCACTGAGCAACAGACCAGGGCTCCCTTAAAAATTTAAAATAGGAGCCTTGCCCATAATAAGAGTTATCACCAGAAATAGCTTTTTATGACCTATCTATAGGGCAGGGCAAACTTTGAATTACTGAACATCTGCTCCTTTTATCCTGTGAATGATCTTTTTCCCCTCTGAAGTCCCAGGCACCATACCTTATCCTTGGCTCAGAATGTCAGTATACACCATGTAATCTTTCTGTCTCTGGTTCTCTCATATATGTGGAATTTCCATATGTACATATGTAAGTAAATGTTATCATATTCTCTTGTGTTAATCTGTCTCCTGACTATTTGAGTATTAGACCAGCCAAAAGGACCTAGAAGGGCAGAGGAAAGTTTCTGCCTCCCTCACAGTACAATAAGATATTTTGAAAGAGAGAGAGAGAGAGAGGGAGACCACATTCACATAATTTTTATTACAATATATTATTATAATTATTTTATTATTAATTACTGTTGTTAATCTCTTAATGTGCCTACTTTACAAATTAAACTTTATCATAGGTATGTATGTATAGGAAAAAATATAGTATAAATAGAGGTTCATACTATCTAGTTTCAGGCATCCACTGGGGGTCTTAGAACATATCCCCCATGGATAAGTGGGGACTACTGTCCAATTGGTGATACAAGAAGAGTGAGATCCCAGGTGTGGGTCTAGCTCGACAATCCTATGACTTCATCAAGCCAGGCTCTCCCTCAGAACCCTGGAGGAAAGCTGGCCAGCTGTTCCCGCGTAGACCAGCTCCCTGGGTCCTGGTCCCTGGAGAAGCTGCACCGGATTGCCATGGCTACGGTGGTCATGTGGCAGGTGTAGGCCCCCACCTCCAAGCCCCAAGGACCCAGGGAAGCACAGTTGGAAGGAAGTTTGGGAGCAAGACCCCTGGGCTTTCATGCAGGGCCTCTTAGTTGTCTTGGAGACAGACACAACTGAGGTGCAATGTTTTCTGACTTCAGCCCTCCACAAAGGGCCAGTCCAGCCCAGCCCATGGGAAGGGGGCCGGCAGGCTAAAGAGGAGAAAATGCCAGACACCACTGAAGAAGGAGAGAGAGGCTAGTAGCTGGCCTCCAGGCAAAAGAATAATAAAAAACAGCAGGATGGGAATATATCGAAAGGACACAGGAACCAACCTAAAGGAGCTCCCAGTGGTCAAAGCGGGGACAACTTGAGCAATAAAATAAATAATGTAGTATTAGATTATTACCCAAAACATAAATTAAATGTACATGTGTCTGGAGTGACAAAAATATATGTTTGAATATGTAAGTAAGTGTGAGGGAGAGGGTCTTTCTTTCCCAAGAATTTCCTTGAACATCTGTAGATACTTGCTCTTCTAGGAGCAGAGCTTAGCCCCTTTCACACAGGAAGGTGGACTTGACTTAGTGTCTGGATTCCAAAGAGTTTGGAAAGGGAAAAAGAGTAACATTGCAGTGTGGAAACCAGGCAGACACTGCCTTAACCAGGTGATCTGGGTGAACGTCACCAGTGATGCTCAGTGGACTTATGTGCCCCCTACCATGATTCAATGAGAAGTCATTTCATTTCTGTGGTAGTTTTTCTAGAAACTTGTAACTCCAGCCGAGTTATGAGAAAAACATCTGTCAAAGTCAAATTAAGTGAGATCCTGTAAAATACCTGACCAGTATCGTTTCTCAAAATCACCAAGTTCGTGATAACAAGGGAAGCTTGAAAAATGGTCGCAGATTGGAGAAAACTATGAAACATGATAGCCAAAGCGTGTGGTA